GAAGCCGTACGGCTTCAATAAAAGTTTTTATTGTGTAAATATAAAACGTTGTTTTTAATTAATTATAATTTTAGCAAAAAAAAATCCCAAATGATATTACATGCTAGTAGAACGTGTTGAAATTCAACAAAATATACAGAGTTGTGGTATTTTAAGCCATGGTCTAAAACTAAGGGCTATTGAATTTATATTGGAAAAGTTATTTACAAAACTTCCTTGCAAACAAAGTTTTCAACATTTGCAATTTCAGGGATATAAATTTCTAACTGGCTGAATGATCATAACCTGGATAGAGCTGCATAGAGATGGCTATACGAACAAATTGGCTCATCTAAGTGTAACTCTGAAGGACAGTTATCCATTTTCACAAATTATATTATTGTAAGATAACAGAATGATCAGAAATTAGCTTTCATGAAATATAATGTTATCCCCTGGTGGGTTGTAACAGTAGTAGTAGTAGTAGTATAAAATATATCATAATGGATAGTTTAATTTTGGTTTTAGTAAGTATTAATTCTAAAATAATGGGTTGATTTTGCATAAATTGCCATGATTTGGTGGCAACTTTGAACAAGATAAAATCTGATTGACCAATTTATCATATAAAACTTTTGCATAAGGTTAGGGTTATATCTGTTGCTTTGAGAAATGCAATGATGCTCTCATGTTGTTGATTTAGTGTTAATGAAAAGTCTTCCCAAAGCAAGGATATTTTTGCTCAGGGCCATTCCATTTTGACCTTGATTTGCACTGTAAGAATGGTTTTCAAATTGTTCATGACATCAAGGACAGTCTCTGCACGTTGCAGAAACAACAATAAGTGTTTTTCAACTGCATTTTATGACTTGTTGGTAGATGTCTGATCAGTCTGTCAACCACTGAATGATCTAAGATGGGTGGCTGTTTGTGCTAGTAATTACTAATCATAGTATTCATACCTCATTGAAAAATATTTAGAAAAGTGAACATTTTATAAAAAAGGATTTTTTTCTGGGAAGTACTACATAGGAAAAGTGCTTGGATCATGCTTTTTAGTCATATACAACTCATTGCATCAAAATGATTCAATGTACAGAGCTCAAAATTTTCTTAAATTTTACTTATATAAACTGTAATGTTTTTATATATTAAAAGTAGTACCCTTTATTGAAAAAATAATAGTTTTCTTAAGAACTCCAGTTTCTCAGTACTACATTTAAAAATTACCCCAATAAAGATATAATCAAACCCTCACATACAGTTCTAATGAAAGTAGTATTCTTGTTGTGAGAAGAGTACTTTTATATAAAACTGTGTTCTATTATTAAAAAAATGGTTGTTGCACATACCACAGTTATTTTTCTAATTGTCTGAATCTTGAATACCCAATGAAATTTTTTATGGACTTTGTGGTGCCATTCAATAGATGGTGTAGGAGTTTTGGTTACATACATAGATATTGACATACACACTATATCCATTATAGTAAGATTGGTAAATAAAAATAACAGGGTTAAAGCTTTAATTTAGAGCTTGGTGGTGTAACCTGTACTACAACGTTAGATAAAGCTTAGGACATATAATGGTACTTTAGGCTTAGCTGTAATTCATCTTATTGGTAAACCATAAAACAGGTTAGATACTTTGTTTTATTGAACAAATACAATCTAAAAACTAGTTGATTGTCTCTTCATGTTTTAAGGTTAAATTTGGTTACTTGACTATAGAGCCATTAGTTTAAATTCAGCTTATAGTTAGTTATAAATCAGGCTAAATACATTGTATTATTACATAAGTATCATATAAAGTAAAGACTAGTTATTTGTCACTTCTATATAAGTAAAGATAAACTTAATTACTTTAGTGTGAAGATAAAGTAGTGATAAAATACTGTAATACATTTGATTCTCAAATGTTTGGTTTAACAGTGTTGGCAATAGGTTACTGGTATTTACTGTTCAGTATTTATTCCATAGCTACAAATATAGTGGTTAAGACTAGTGTAGAAGTTAAGTGATTACAGTTTGTTAGGTGTGATGGGTGCAATGAATAGGTTTTATTTGGGAACTCTGGACTGGCATGTACTTTTAATTGAATTAGCAATGAAGATGTGCAATTTGTTTGTAGAGTTTTTAGGTTGGAAGAGAAGTTGGAAACTATTGTAATTAAAGTAGAGGCAATAGATAATGAGAAGTGTAAACTGTGGGAAATGGCAGAAGGATTTCAAGAAGAGCTTAAGTTTTTACATGCAAGGAATACATTAGCTAACAATGATTTTCAGGAAGGTAGAAACAGTACCATTAGGCCTAAAAGTAGTGGATTTAATTGTAATGAGCATGTTTTTTTGAGCAACATATTTCAGCTCTTGGCTTGTGCAGATGAGGAACTAATCGAGGGAAGGAAAACAAAAGGGTCAGAGAAGGATGTGGACGATAAACTTAAGGAGGTTATAGTTATAGCTGATTCTTTGATAATGGCTAATGTTACTTTATTGTTACCTCAGGGCTGAGTCTTAGGACCTTTGCTCTTTTTGATTTACATCAATGACATAGATGAAGGAATAGTCAGTAAATTACTTTATTTTGCTGATGATATTACGGTCTTGGGTGTTGCTAGCTGTGAATAGGATGCTGCTGATTTACAAAATGATTTAGATCATTTAGTGAGTTGGGCAAATAAATGGCAAATGTGTTTTAATTATAATAAATGCAAGATAATCCATGTGGGTTATCATAATTTAAATTATAAGTATAATTTGGATGGGAATAACCTTAACAGTGTCATGAAAGAAAGGAATCTTGGTGTAATAGTTAATGAGTCTCTAAAGCCATCCAAGTAGTGTGTTGTTACTAGTGGTAGGACAAATATGATTTTAGGTTGTATCTACAGAAATAATAAATATAAGTTTAAAGAGATTGTAATTTCATTTGGAGTATTGTGTTCATTCTTGAGCTCCTTACCTTAGGAAAGACATTAAATTGTTGGAAAAGGTTCAGAGGAGAAATATTAGAATGGTGCTGGGGATGGACAGAGAGGTTAAGACAATGTTTCCCAACATTCTTTGCTGCAGCACCCCTTCAGCAAACAATGAGTGCTCATGCCCCTTCTAATAAATGTTTAATACAATTACTGAAAGTGTCATCAAAAGAGAAATGCTCAACAAATGGACAAGAAGCATTGGGGTGGGCATTGCTTGCCACAAGCACACCTACATGCTTTTGCTTAAATGTGTTGAAAGAAAAACCCCTATTTCTTATGGTTTAATTTTAACAAATATAACTTTGAAACACTCAAAACCTTTCTCTCCCCCCCACCTCCCCCTCAAAATTTACTACCCCCCCTGTATTTTAAAAATGCACACTAGGGGGCAGTGTTGCCCGTGTTGGGAAACACTGGGTTAAGATCTCAGAAATTGTTTTCTCATGAAATAAAGTTAGAGGGAATCTGATTGAGGTGTTTAAGACTGTTAAATGAATTGATAGTGTTGATGCATAATCTTTTTTCATACTTAATGGTGAGAATGGTAGGACTAGAAAACAAATATAAATTTTGGCAGGGAAGGAGTCATTTTCAGCTAAAACAGTTTATTTTTCTAACAGGGTGGTTGCCCTTTGGAAAGGGTTGCTGTCAGATGCTGTGGAGGTAGTGAGTTTAAGAGAAAGCTTGATAACTAAATGAATGATAAGGGCTGGCTTTAAGTTGTCTTTTTTTATTTATTTAATAGTTTTAGTTTAGAGGCTGGAACAGCCTAGATGGACCAGTATGTCTCTTGTTGTCTCTAAACATTATGTTATGTTAAGTAGACACAACTATACCTAAAATTTATGGGTAAGATAATTTCAGTTTGATTTATCATGAATTTGGTGAGTAAAACAAAAAACACAAAAATGTAATTTATTCATATATTACAAATAATTTGCTAAATTCTGTAATAAATAATAGACATTAGAATACAGTAGTTTGGTTTAAAAATTATTGAAATTATGTTTTCTTGTATTTTTTTCTGTTTAAGATTACAAAATAGATTTGCAATTATAAATTATGCATGTGATTTATTACTCATATTTAGCTCATTCTTTCTTAACCAATCATACACATATCCTTCTTGTCACAAAAATCTATAGTAGTGTAACTGACCTCATCTACTTACCTTGCAAAAACTGTATCATTTTTTTCCTTTTATATCTGCCTCCACAGTTTTCATTCTCATCTTGCATTTAATTCCTGTTTTTGGCTTTTTGTTTTAGTATGCTTTTGCTATCTTTGAGAAGTGTATGTGTCAAATCTCAAATAGAAAAAAATGGATCCCTTTAACAGTGGACTTATCTTTTAATCAAATCTTATTATATATGTGTATATATACACACATGTAATCTACCACAGTGATTGTGGTGAATACATTTAGAGTTGCAGAGGGCATCATTAGTTTTCTTCATTATTTATTTTTTGTTGATGTACCTCACTTTTAACAGATTAGGAGCTGATTTGTTTTTTTTTAATAAATATAAGAAAAAGCTGTTATTTCTATTAAAAATACATTAACAGTTTCACAGGAACCTGTAGATTCCTTGATTTCCAAGTAATTCTGCTGTCCGTGGAATTGGACTGCCCCTCCTTATGACCTCATAATTGTAAAGGCCCTGTTAGTTCACAGTCAAACACTTGCTAAAAAAAACAGTCCCGTGGATTTTAAATGTGTTTTGGGTTTTTTATCTAGAGTATTATTGTTTGCTACATATAAACTTTCCGAGACTTTATTATGGAGCTGATACATTGTACTTTTACATACATGCTAAAGTAGTACTACCAACAAGCATGATAACAAGGGGTAATATTTCAACCAACTTCCTAAACCTCCTTCAGATCCCAAAAATAATGCTAAAAAATTTCTATAACAAAGAAATCACTACAGAACTTAGGAACAGAACACACCATGAAGACATTTCTTTTTGATAAAAACAGAGTTGTGTGTGGGAAACATTTCACCCTTGATTGTTTCCAGTTGGATTTACTAAGTTAATGGGTAAAAAAAAAACCTCAACAATACCTTATAAAAAGGTCAGTGCCAGTGCTTTTCAAGCATCACACCTTTCCATCAAGCCAAGAGAGAGAAGTATGACTGGAAACTAGGAAAAATAAGAAGGCATTTTAGACTATCGTTATAATTATAAGATCTTCTAAACAGCATGTATGCAACTGCTTTACTGTATGACTGTAACTTCATTTTGTTTCAGTGACTAACAGTGAAAGTAAAAGATATGCAAGATACACTTTATTTCTTGAATTTCAGAAAAGACTGTTGTATTGTAATATTGCTACACAGTGAATAAGCAACGATATCAGTTTTGCTTCCTTGATATATTTTAAACAACACTGCTTCTCATCACTTCTAAACACATTTTATGAGGAATGGGTGAGTAGGTTATCAACATTTCTACATCACACACCAGTGTGCAACCTAACATTTGGTATTACCCATGGAACATGCAAAAGTAAATAGTCCCACATTTTTTATCTTGTCTTATGGTTATTATTACATAGTTGCATTCTTTAAGCAAAACACAATTAAGCAGACGACATAATAATTACATATACAATAAAGAGACAGAGCTCCTCTTTAAAAAGAAAATAGTTGAAAATTAAAATATGAGATGGTTTCAAACCTTTGATGTAGAAAGTGGTGTTGAAATTGAAAATTGAGTTCAATACAATTGTTTTAATGAAATTATGTTATGCAAAATATAAAGTAAGTGGCTTAGCTTAATTGCTAAATTTTCATTTTTGTCCACCCTAGCAAAAGTTCAGTATCATTGTTTTTCTTCCCATTTTTTCCAGGGACTACTGGGATGAAGTGACCTACTGTTTTTGTAAGTTTGATCAGTGGTGCAATGGCAGTCATTACAATATTGCTGAATTTGCAAACATTGTAATAACAATAACTTTATTGGTCATCTTTCAGAAATTGATGTTTCACTGAAAGTTTTGAATTTATTCTTCCATACTTGAAAAATATGTTAATCTCCCGAAGAAGATCTGAAGAGAAAAACCGTCCAGTGTGAATATGTTTACAATAATAATTGTATGCATCAAGATTTTTTTGTTAGTTTCATGTGGGACTGCTGAAAAAAAGATTCAGATTTTGTGAGTTCGATATAAACAATACATATCAGAGAGATTTAGCTGTAAAAAAGTTTAACTTTTGTCTTTCTTTTATTAACCAGTACTTTACATGTAAACAGTAAGGATGCTAGCATAAGACAGAATTTTCCAAACTAGAAATATTGTATAACTGTTCTAGCACATTTTTAGTATACTGTTTCATTTTTTTCACAATATAAATCAATGTTCTTTTTTTAGATTCATATCTGGAAGTATGTAGTTGTTTGAAGTTTGTAGCATGAAAAATATTTAATTAGTTTGTATCAGGCATGTTGTTTTGCTGATTTATGAGAACTTGAGACAGACTTGTTTTATCTGTATCAGTAGATCTCTCTTGTAAATACTATTGCATGATGCTATAAAGGCAACTAAAGCATTTATCAAACTCCACATTTTTTTTACGCAAGTAACTCTGTCATGTGGATGTTAAATATGTTTTGGATTTTCTTTTCTTTTTCCTAGAGTATTATTGTTTCTTACATATAAACCTTCTGAGACTTTGTTATGGAGCTGATAAATTGTATTTTTACACACACATTGTGTTTGTCACTCATTATATCTTCATTAAAACACTACATGTTTTTTCTTCAGTTTAATAAAATAGACTGTTACTGATTAGTAACAAACTTGAAAACTATTAAGTACTAATAATAGTGTAATATTAATTTTTCTACAATTTATATTATTTTCTCATTTTTTGTCATTTGATTTATTTAAATGAATTTTTTGGATTTGAAAATAAGACCTAGAGAAATTGAACCATATCATTTTGTCATGTAGCCTGTGGGCTTCATTAAATTTAATACTGTAGTAATTCTTTTTAGTCAGCATATTGGACAGTACTATGTAGGTTTCTGTGTATGTATGTCTGTGAGACATTACAGAGATTGGAACATATATTATTAGCTGTTTGATTATTTGATGTCCTTTAAACGTTTGTTTTTATAATGGTTGTTAGTTTTATTGTTTGTGAAAAAGAATGTTTTTCAGGTAATAATTTCGAATTTGATGAGAACTTTCATCTTCAGTTTTTTTTATACATTTTAGAAATTCTACTTAATTCTATCAAAAAATATCCTCCAGGTCATGTCCAGAAACTGTATTGCACTATAGATTTTTGTTTTTGTCTTTTAAATTGGACTTTGTAGAACTGTGTTATTAGAAAGTTGTTCTGTGAGATAATCATTCCATAAATGACTGTAAAGATAAAAAATGAAAATACATTCCATTTACCAGGAGCCACTATACACATGTTGAATCTGAATATATATTTTCTCATCTGATTTTATCTATAATTATAAGATTTGAAAAATATTCAAGCATTATTAATAATAAAAGTAAGTGGTGGTGTTAAATAGAGTAAAAGAAATTCTCTGAGATTTTATTTTTTTCTTTCTATTTATTCTTTACTTGTTTTGGGTGTTATGAATAGACATTTTTCAAAGAACTGTGGGATTAATACAGTTAATATTTTAATAACAAATGTATATGATGATATTTACTATATACTTCTCAGTTAAGACCTGTTGAAGGATTGCATTTGTAATGTGTATATTAGAAAACTTGAAACTATCAGAGAAATAAAAAACTTTTCCCTACTTGTGTAGATTTGAGTTCTTGTATGTTTTTTTTCAGAATTAATCACTTTCCCCATAGTTTAGCAGTAAGCATGAGGGCATATAAATATAAAATGTGAGGTTCAATACATGTGGTGGGCTCAGCTGAAATAGCCCATTCTGTATCTTTGCATTTAACATAAACAAACTTACAGAATAATACAAACTTTCTACTTTAACTCACAACAAAACTTTCAAAGATACTTTACCTCCGCTCATATAAAAGCTTTTTTGGATTATTACTGCTCTCTATATGCTCAAATGTTTTGCTTGCCACTAGCCTCGATTCAGCTGCACTGTAGCATGTAAATAATTCTGTGACAACCCTTCACCAAAAATGAGTGTGACACACTCTCCTTATGCACTAACTCTCCCTGAATTATAGTCTAACCTCATTTCTTGATTTGGCACTCAAGTGTTTAATCTTGTTGCCAGCTCTTTCCACTCGAGTTCCTGAGTCACATTGTCATATTTTTTGCCACCGACCCATTCAGCTTGCATAGTTTCAGTGACTATCTGGTAGTTACAGGACCTGTGGGTGCAGGCTGTACAATTTTGTCTTTCCATGTTTAGAGGACTTTCACCATAGATCCTTTGGTGCTGCAATTCTTGTTAGAAGAACTTTCCCTTCGTTTTCACACTCCTCCCTTATCTCCTTTCCAAGTACCCTTCCCCAGGGGATCCCATATCCTGCCAGCATTTCTCAGAGGTGGTTCAAGGCCTTTTTTTCTAAGGGTGCTATAGAATCCATGATTCATCCTGGACACAGGTTCTATTCCCGGTTGTTTGTTCCCAAAAAAACATGGGATTGGCAACCTATCATTGATCTTTCCAGTCTGAACTGATTTCTAGACATTCCTTGTTTCACTATGGAGTTGTTTCTGTCACTTTGATGGGTGTTTATTCTAAGTTTGTGGATGACAAAGTTCAACTTTTCCGATGCTTACCTCCATGTCCCGATATCACCAACATCTTGTAGGTTTCTTGGATTGGGTCCATCAGTTCCAAGCCTTTTCTTGGCCCCTACATTTTTTGTTAGTTGGTCAAAGCTTTTGCCAGATGGATCCATCCCCAGAGGCTTTGGTTACACCATTACATGGACAACTGGCTTCTTCTAGCTCCATCATGAGCAGTAGTCTCCTGCTGCACATATTTGTTGGTTGATCAAGGTAGATAAGTCTGTACTGACCCTGACTCAATATCTGGTTCATCTTTTTTCAAATTCTACATCAGTCTGGCCCAACCATCTCCAGTTGTCTTTGGTCCATGGAGCTAGCAGTTCAAAAGGCAAAATCTTCTCCAACTCTACCTTTGCAAGAGGTTCTATTGCTTTTGGAGACTTGGGAGATATTGGAAGCCCATAGTTCATTTGGTTGTACACGATCAATAGAACCTTGCTAGAGATCTCCTGGATTCTCCTATTTCCATTCCTTCTTCCCTGCAAACAGACTTTGCCTTGTGGCTAAACAGAGACAGGACCTCGGCTGGAGTTCCTCTTCCACCTCCCAAACTAGATTTACACCTTTTTGCACATCTCTGTCATGTTGGTGGTGTACTTGGATGCTTGGGAAATATCTGTTTGGTAGTCCAAGTTTCATATCAGTCTTACACTAAATGCTTAGTCAAATGAAAGCAAATAATTTCAACAGATAGCTGAATAACTTGATAGACTTAATAAATAAAATGAAATAAAACAGAGTTAAAGTAATTTATTTCTAAAAAAACATATATATATGAAGGGGCCCCATCAGCTTGAGCTGACCATTAAATCTTCCCCTGGCTTCCATCACCCTTGAAGGCAGCTCATTCCCAAAGTCAACCACCCTGTTTGAAAAATAATACTGTCTAAACTTCAGACTACTTCTACACTTCCAAAGTTTGAATTTATGACCTCTTGTTCTATTGTTTCCACTGTTAAACACACAAAAGTTTGATGGATTTCTATTAATAATACCCTTAATAATTTTAAACACCTGAATCAAATTCCATTTGATCATTCTCTTCTTCAGA